CAGGTGAAAGTTAGTATTTCCCCCGAAGTGGAAGTACCATGGGGAAACAATGAACCGAGCTAGCTTGCTGGCTGTTTTCAAGTTTGAGGAATCTGAGGTGCAGAATTGAACCTACCTTTGTTCCCTTCTTAATGTATTTCTTTGCAAAGGCAGTATAATTCCACATTTGTGTTTTCATTCCAAAGCAAATGCTGCACTGCACTTTTTATTAAAATGAAATCTAGTGTGTGCAGCCTGGTGTTAAATGAGAGACTATTAAAGCCAATCAGTGGAGAACTCATTAGTAACCCTATAACAACAAACTAGTAGTTATGGCCCAGCATTCACAAACAGTCATGACAATCAGTAGGAAGAACCCTGGTCTCATTGAAGGTTATAATAAAAACACAGCTTACGACTGTGAACGTCCATACAAAACAGCTGAGTTTCTATTCCTCATATATGTGCCAGAAATCATATTTTTTTCTCATGACTCATCCCTGAATTCCACTCCCAAGAATGCTCCTGTCATTTAGTTATTTCTTCCCATTTTTAAATGTAATGAGAAGCACCATTCCCAAGCTCAAAGAAATCTGTCCCATCAATTAAAATAACAAAATAAGCAGAAGGCTGCCTATAAACACATCCACCTCTGCCCACTCACTCCTCGGCAGTCATGGTGAAGGGAGAATGGATGAGCTTTGCAGAATGCCTAGAAGGTTAGCAGCTCGCCTTGGAATGGGCAAGAGGGAAGAACTCCATATCTGAGCATCTCTGGAGAAAAACCCCATTAAAAACTTCCTCCCAGCCTTTGTAATCTTCTCATCCAGTAGAAGAGAGCAGAGAGCACAGTGGTTTGCTGGGTGCCCAGAAGACTGGTCATTAAGATAACTATAAATGTGATAGACTGGAATATTTGAACCATATTTCTTTCTGGGACAGTGAAGGAATAAACGAACAGGTAATTATTACAAACAAACAAAGAATTAAAGAGCGTAATTGAACTGGAAAACAGCATTTGGATATTTAGACTCCAAATGATCACCTAAGCCTATTATCAGCATAAATTGACATAAATACCTCACTAGAGGAAAAATTCCTCAAAAATCATTCAAAAAGAAAACTAACAATTCTTGTAGAGCACACCTTTCTCAGAGTATTATTTCCCTACTAGTTACTGGAGTTATCTCACCAGTGGGCTCATTTCTAGGACAAAATCTGCAATGTTCAATGCTCAGGAACATACTTCTGCAGTTCCAGTCTAACCAAAAGGAGAACCAGTTTCAAGACAGACAAGGAACAGGTGCTATGAGACCACTATTAATACAAGAAGATGCAGACCAAACACCTACACTGGCAAGAACAGTATTTAGATAACAGTCCGCCTTGTTTCTTTTTGTGCTTGCAGCCATACTTCAAACGAAACTTTGTTTGCACAATCTCTTGCAAAAACGAACAAGTGTCAAAGTAAGAAGGCGGAAAGACATGGAGAAACTGAGCTTGCTTTCTAAATCTGAGCAACATTCAGTTCGTTTCCTCCTTACTCTATTATACACCCATATCAACCACCAACTGAGACAGTGTTGAGCACAACCATTTGATTTTAGCTGCATTCAGAACTACTGCACTTTCAGAAAGAGGGGGGAAAAAAAAGTAAGAAATGGTCAGAGTTCAAAGGCAGATCTTGGGAAATGACTAATTCACAGTCTTAGTGTATAATATGCCCCAGCTGAACTAAATTACACATTTTTTTTAGCTGGATGTGTCACTCTCCGAAGAATAAAATGGGAAAATTCCTTTATCACACTGCCTCCCAGCTATGGATTTGAAGCAAAATGGACCACTTTGGATTAGCTTCAAGAGCTTCTGAAGCACCAGCTACACAGTGATGTATTATCTGAGGTCACACACACTTTTTGCAGTCTCCCCAGACATCAAGCCCACGTACATACATTTCTCTATTCTATGTAGGCATGCGGAGGGGGAACTGTAAGTTGCAGATGGCTGAATATAGTATTGCCAGGTCCAGGGCAAGACTAAAATTAGTTTTCCAGAACCTTCAGTCCAGTCCAAAGTGAGCCAAACCGTGTCCCAGACATGCAGGTATTGCTGCTGCCTGGTATGCACAACACACAAATGTTGTGGGATCTTAGTAGGTGGAAAGGGTTAGGGAAGGTATGAAGCAGCCAGGTCTGCAGAATCGGTAATACCCCAAATAGACAAAACATTTCAGGAGAGATTTAAAGATCTCAGATAGACAAAGTATATCAAGAGAGGTTTAAAGCTTAGCACATAGTAAATTCCAGCGAGTTCAACGGGACTTGAAGGTATGAACACAGATTACAGCCTTTAATCTCTGTGTGTTTTGGTTCAGTGAGGTGAACTCATATCTTCATGTCTGCTTCTTTCCACATCTTGTCCCTCTTCTCTACCTTTTCTCCTGCCCAGACTCCATGCTGTGAGGCTGAGCTTGAAGCTATCACATTTCTATTGAACCTTTGAATTTGTAAAAACAGCAGCTTATTTTAGACAATAATAGCTTTTATACATCAAAAGGTGCCTGAAAGTAATTTCACTTAAACAGAAAACTAAGCACCAAATTCACTGAAGAAAATCTTTTTAACCATCTCACTCAGAAGCACAGAGAGGATGGAAACATTTAGGGGGGCAGAAGTCCCAGACTGGCAGACCACAGTCTAGCACCATGCAAGGCAAAGCGAATATTTGCACTGTGGTCACAGAAGCAACTGCAACACAGTGTAATTATTTCTGAGCTAGCTCAGGTGCCTGCAGCCACCTAGGCAGTGTCAGAAAGGAGCTTGGTGCGGACTACTGACTCAGTACTCAGTACTCAGTGAGACTGACGCTGGTACCCAAACTGAGCGGGTTAGTTAGACTGCACCTGCAGTCATTCCTGTGAATGCTGTACCTAAAGCAGACAAGGGAGAAGGAACAGCATGATTTGGGCCATGAAGGTGAGAAGACAGCTAATATCTTCAAATGTGACAAGAACTGCTTTCCTGTGGGGTAGCCAGTCTTCAGGGAATATCTACACTGCACAACAGGACTGTCATATCTGGAGACTCAAGAGTCTCTGAGCTGGTGACTTCTATATAATGCAAAGAAGTGCTATACAAAGAGATTATGTTGAGTCCTCGAAGCAGCATAACTGTATGGGTATGATGTTATGCACAGGCTAATACAGTGTCATGCGGATGACTAATTAACAGAACTAATTAACAGAAGTTCTCTGCAGAATGCTCTGTCACTTAGTAGGGGACAACACTTTTTTTTCTAGATAACTGCTGAAGCTCCACTAGAAAAATCCCTCTACATTTGGAAAGGCAGAACAACAGCCTGCCTTGATGCTACTTCTGATAACTTTGTATATATTAAATATATTTTCCCTGCTTACTCATTCCAGGGATGACTCAAAAGAGCATCAGAAAACACCCCTTATCCCTAAGCCTAGCTGGGAAGGAAACTGATAAAAGCTTTGGGGACCTTTGGTAGTCCCAAGACTTGCATACAGCAAAGAGTCAGTGTGGAAAGGAGGAAGGAAAGGTGGTAAGACCTGGTAATATGCCAATGGATAACTGAGAAAAAGAACAAATATCAGATAGCATTATGGGTAATATAATGGGGTCAAAGAACAGACTTTTCTTTCAGTCCCCAACTTTCAGACAAAGCAAAATCTGATTTGTCCACCAGTCCTTCTACCTGTTTACTAGAGTTGACAGTGAGGGGTCACAGCATGCAAACCAATCCATCACACTTACACTGTTCCATGATTCATCGTGACAAATGAACAAAGATGCTGAGCTCTGTGTGGCCACTTCTCCTGATGGCTACTGTCTGGATTCCCCTTGTCCTACCACCAAGGGACCAACCTGCCCAGGAATTTTATATGTAAAACATTGGAGAACAAGAGCTGAGCAGGTCAGGGGACATCTGGCTAATTGCAGATCCCATGTCTAATTATCTGGGTTGCTTAGCAACACACTGAAATGCCAGCTGGGACAAAAAAGAAGATCTAGTAATCAGAGTGCTGTTCTAGAGGTTGTTCCACCACAGGCTTCCTCTTTGACCTTAAGCAGGCATCTTAGCACTGCTTCTTAAGAAAATCTGAATCTGGATCAAAGGAAGATGTTTATTCAAATACATTTTCCCTATTTTTAAATTCCCTTTTCCATCTAGAAAAAACTGTCATTCTGATGGAGGCTTCTAGGCTCTCTGCATAATGTGCATGAGAACGGGACACAAAACACCCAGCAGACAATGGTGAATGAGTAGGGCGATAGCACAAGTCTAGCTCTTTGAGGCAAACTGGATCCTTAAGACACCCAAGGACTTTAGAGGCTTCCAGTATAAAGCAGGATCTGAGCAGACTTTTTGACTAACTCTTGTTGCAGCTCTAGTTCTCCACATCTCTCTGCACTTCCTTCTCTCCTGTAATTCAGGGCTAATGGACAGCAGACGAACACTTGGTCCTCAGACAACACGTGCCATGAAACTATTCCAGGTGGGTTACACAACCATCACTTATCAAGGATGGCCCTTCACATTCTGCTGGAGCCTGGAACAGAACCTGGCGCCTTCTAGATTTGAATACAAACATCCACTGCTTGCAGCAAGAACCCACCAGAGAGTTACAGATCCATTCATGCAAAGACACTCCAAGAAGTTCAGTGCTGTTATAAAAGCAAAATTTTGTGCATTGAGGGGCATGGTCAAATTTTTGCACTGTGCTTTCATTGTTCCTTTTCCTCATGCTAGCTTGGCCCCTGTGTTGTATGGAAGCTTTCTAAGGGGGTGACAGTACTGGCATT